AGGGTGTCTAAAAATCGAGGCACAACACGCTCGTCAGACTAAACTTAACTTTTGCATCAAATAAAGACCTATTAATTTTTCAGTAACTCAATTTAAAAGAATAACTTGAACCTCTATTCTGGTTAAGTTCTATCTTACCCAGTATTATAATATGTCTAGAATAAACTCTTCTGGTTATATTATCGGTTTTTAACAAACAAACAAAAAAACCGGAACAATTCGATTCTTAAATTCAATAATAATTCATCGGTATTAGAAGTCTTAAATCATATTAATACAGTACATATTCAAGTGGCACGCGTTTGTTGACGTCATTATGTGTGAGGAGGCGCGTTAAACGACCTCGTACACAGGTCGCAATCCCACACACAAACATTATACATATACAAAACATATTAAATTTATCTATAGTAATATGTGTACGATACATGTGTGGTTTTCGCGTTGTGTGCTAGAAACATTGATGTGTTGCAATGAATCGAAATTTATTTATTATGATTATGTACTTCTGTTTAATTACGTCGTTAATCGTCTAGGATACGATATCTTCACATTTGCATAATATTGAGCCACGGTTGCATGATGACCATCGGTTTTATTGTATTTACTTCAAGCTACTTCTCGCCACCTTTCAATGTGATCTACGCTCTAAAACTAATGTCAATTAATATTGTTTCTTGAACGACTTCACAACTTATTAAATCGTTAGTAAATTCGAGCATCACTCTTACAGTATTTTTTTGTGTTCACCCTTAAGATTTGTATTAAAAATTAATAGTTTTATGCTTTTTTGAGTCTAAAAATACTTATCAATATGAGATCAAACGATGCCCTGCAGAGTATGTACCTATACCTTTAAAAGTTTAATTATATAGCACAAGAATGCCGTCATTCTACATAACAGATTTCCTATTCTACCCTATTTCATCTAAATTTCACCTTGGGAGGCTCCAGAGCGAGTCGAACCAATATTTTATACCTTCAGTCTAATTTTTCAATGTCAGCTCTACATTTTTCATAACTCTACGACTTGATTGATCGAAAGATTAAATATTCATTTATTGAAATTCATTTTCTGCGTTAGATTTTTTTTTATTTCTCTTACTTACTTCGGTTATTATGGTCATTAGATAAAAATTAAACGCACTATAAAAATCGATAAAAAAAAATCAAACTTATTCATTCAGTTAAAAGCTGTACTTTTAACCAAAGAGAAGACTACTTTTTTTATTGCCTCAATATGCATCGGTCCCGTGACGTGATCAGAAGAACCACATTTTAGGAAATCGTTACTAGAGCCCACGGAAAAGTTTTTTTTTGAGACGGCCTTATTTTTCCTGGCCCGGAAGCCTTTCTGGCTTTACCAAGGCAGGTTGTAGAATTTAAGGGCTCATCTAAGAGGAGAATGTTTGCTATCAGCTACCCGAGCACCTCCGTAGGTGGCCGAACAGCTCTAGAGCAGCTGATTCTCAAGTTCATCAACCACCGGGTCGCAATCGTGAGCAAGTGAAAAGATGCGAGATAAACTCTGCGGGCTGATCAAGCTGACTCTTAGTCAAATATACACGATAAAAATAAAACACAGTACCATTTCCCGTTCACTTTTTTCTTTACCGGATCATGACTGATCGGGATGTTATGCTAGTAGTCTAAAAGCAAAAATAAACGTTCGACTGTCATTTAACGGAAATTCGTAATGAATAAATAGAACAATTATTAGAAACAGCCCGCACGCACGTGATCGCTCGCCCGAAACCGTCACGACGCGACGCATGCTTACAACGTATAATATGTATATACATAATGACGTATGTACATATATACATTTTATTTAAATCGGCAAAGCGCTGATTGTGCCAACTGGCAAACGAAACGTTTCCAAACCTGTATGTATGTAGGTGATTTATGAACGCACGGAAAAATCTTAATAACAAAAAGAATAGGGACGCCATAGTTTATTTTTGCACTTTTAAGTCTTATTTGATAAGTACAAAAAACATTCTTTGATAAATTCTAACGTTTTTAATAAGTACAAATCAAAAGCGCATTACGATGTAATTAACTTTACTATCGTTAAATAGGATGATGTTTTTAAAATGCTTTTTGCTGTTGGTAGGACCTCTTGTGAGTCCGCGCGGGTAGGTACCACCACCCTGCCTATTTCTGCCGTGAAGCAGTAATACGTTTCGGTTTGAAGGGTGGGGCAGCCGTTGTAACTATACTTGAGACCTTAGAACTTATATCTCAAGGTGGGTGGCGCATTTACGTTGTAAATGTCTATGGGCTCCAGTAACCGCTTAACAGCAGGTGGGATGTGAGCTCGTCCACCCTTTCTAAGCAATAAAAAAAAAAAATTTTGAATACTTCCAAGGTTTGTTTTAAAAACTGTATTTTGACTTTTGGCTCAGTGTAATGCTGATCAATAAATAGTACAGTGCTTAGGAATAAAATCATAGATCATTCAAGTAGGGCTTCTAGGACTACAACCAAGTCGTTACGATCTCTACAAATAGAGTTTTGTAAAACTACATTTCTCTTTAATATACAAATACAATTCTTTTTGGTACAGTAGCACACTTCGCCAAAACCCACGGGAAAGTTTATCTACGCCGCAAAATAACTACCAAATTATGAGAACAGTGAATACATGACCCAGATTTTAATCTGCAAAAAAATATTATATTATCTTGCGGTCCTCAACAAAAGTCGTTAATTGATTGGCTTGAGATTATTTACGCACTGAATTAGACACTGTTAATCGCTGGATTATAGGTATTATTTTTGACTTATTGTTTTTTTTATGACGTCAACACATAAGTCAATGTTTTTAATTCCTAGGTTTTTTTTCTTTTCTTGCTTAGATGGGTGGACGAGCTCACAGCCCACCTGGTGTTATGTGGTTACTGGAGCCCATAGACATCTACAACGTAAATGCGCCACCCACCTTGAGATATAAGTTCTAAGGTTTCAAGTATAGTTACAACGGCTGCCCTACCCTTCAAACCGAAACGCTTACTGCTTCACGGCAGAAATAGGCAGGGTGGTGGTACCTACCCGCGCGGACTCACAAGAGGTCTTACCACCAGTAGAACCTCTAACGATTGCATTCTGTAGATAGATAGGTACTAACCGAGCCAAGCTTTTTAAGAGTTTTGTGGAGGTAAAGAGAACCGTCTCTGTGTTAAAAAGTGTCCGTTAAAATCTGCTAAATAAGGATAGCGCTACAGTAGCAACCGGGTCAATTTAAAAAAGTCATTAAGATAGAGAAATAAAAAAGGAGGAAAGAAGTATCGTCTCTTGTGATCGGGCTTGAAGTTGACTGTCAATGGAAAATTCGTAAAGCAGTGTATCTTTTACTAGGTCACCCCACGTTCATTTATATGGCCTTTAATGATATAAATCGAGAATAACTTAGAAAATGAAGACATATTAAGGTAATGCAAAGTATCAAATATAATCAAATTAATTGAAGCCGATTTGAAAATAATTTAATTTAATTTTACGGCTTAATCTCGGTTTTTTATTACTTTTCGAAAATTTTGCAGTTTTCGTGGACAGGAACATTATCAATTTTTCTATGAAATAAATTTCCAAACTTTTTCGTTTCATTAATACATTAAGAATAGACAAGAAAATAATATAATTACAATAAATTTGCAAGATTAAACCGTTAAATTAGATTTAACTGTATCAAAGACTCGAAAAAACCGAAGAACATATGAAATTAATATACATATTCCTATAAAACAGTTTGTGAATAAACAGAAAAGAAAATCAATAATTCGATGTACCCAAAGTATAAATAAGTCTTATAATAACAATACAGGGTCGAGAGAACGTATCGTAATGTGCTCAGAATTTTCCAGAATACTATGATAAGAGGATATCGGAGTAGACACTCCCAAACATGTTTTTATATTGACAGGAAGCCATATAAACTATACATACTTGTTAGATAATACGAAGCATGTGTACAAAGATGTCCCCAGGTATAAGTGTCTCAACGGATCACCGGTTGTCACCAGATAAGGATTTCGAAAACGCTGTAGGAACTTTCCAATCCAAAGTGAAGGTTTATCTGTATGTGAAATAGCCACACTATCTATATTTTTTATTCCACACTATATATCTGTATGGATAAAATATCAATTTAATTTGTTTATGTCTTGGCGGTTTTATGACCATCTTTCGTTATCAAATGATTAAAATTATTCCGTTAGTTCCAAGAATTACTATTATCTAGTTTATGTATTTATTTTAGGGTTTTTTTATAAGCCGAAAACGATGTCATATCTAGTTTTTTTTTACACTATTTGTACATCAAACAGAATGTTGGCGTTTTATGTTAATTTACATCTGTAAAGTCTACATTTATTTTTATTAAATAGTTCTAATAAGTTACAAAAATAAATTATAATCTACGATAAATGAAGACAAGATAAGTTTTAACAGTTCCTACGTGACCTTGTGTGAACGGAAACCATATAACCTTCGTCTCTTTGATATGTGATGCAATGAACATATTAAGGTTAGGAAATATAACGTTGCCTACTATGAATGTCTAACTTTAAATAATTAAATCTAGTGTTAATGTAAACTACTCCATTATCAACAGAATGTAAATATATTTCACAACTAAAGCCGTGCTGATAAGAACATCCAGCAAACTGTACTGAAGAAAGGGCAATACACTTATTTTTCTTGATGAGAAATATGTTACTTTAACACTGGTAATTCTTGTTACTTGTACTCCTTAATTCTAGTTTTAATGTTTTTATAACACAGTAGTTGAACGTAACTAACTATAAAGCGTGTCAAATAATTTACGTCGTTATTTGATTTAGTCAAAACTATTGATAACTCGCAGACATACATAATTTCATATGCCAATTAATATATGACATTCACTAAATTCAAAGATGACATCACTTTCGTTTTAATTGCCCTGTTATTGAGTCTGGTTTCATGATAGTAATACACAATTATTATTTATATTCCAGCGACCCTCATTACTGCAACAGCCGGTACTTGCTACGGTTGGCCGTCTCCTACTCTACTGTATCTTGAATCAGAAGAAAGTTCAATACCAACAACTGCCTACCAAGGATCATGGATAGTCTCAATAATGATACTCTGCTCGGCTCTAACACCAATTCCATCCGCCTATCTCGCCGACAAATTCGGAAGAAAAACTACACTGCTTCTAGGAGCTATACCCTTCATAATCGGCTGGATACTTGTCATCGTAGCGAAGTCCTTGCCAATGCTGTACGTCGCGCGGATTTTCTCAGGCCTGGGTTATGGAGTTGTGTACACTGTGGCTCCGATGTATACGGGAGAGATAGCTACGAATGAAGTTCGAGGTGCCCTATCAACTCTCATTACTTTAATGAACAAAGTGAGTACTATACATTACTAACATTCATGTTTCATTTTAGTTTAAGCAACAATTAATGAATAATAATCAGCGCAATAAATACGTCACTCACACTATACCTACAAACATGCAATGGAAAGAGGATTGTGGCCTCTCAGAATATTCGATTCAATACGGATGTTATTAAAATATACGAGGAATAGATTGGGTTTAACCAAATTATTGTTAGCCCCAGAAGTCGTAGTCTGAAGTAAAAAACGCCTGGTATAGTCGTATCGAACGATTAGATTATTTGAGTGTTCAAATTAATTCATAGTTACAGTTTTATAATGAAATACATGCATAGCATTTGTTCACGAATGACTTCCACGATGAAGCAATAACATCGATTAATAAAATTCATGCCGGCAAAAATTACAATTTGCGTGAGTACTATGCAATAGAGACATACCTATAGACCACGAGCTTCAACAAGTGGGGTGACATTCACGGCGGTAACCACTTAACACCAGGTAGGCGGTGAACTCATATATCCGTCCTGGCAATAGAAAAAATGTGAACTTCTTAATTCCAAATTTTATTGAAATAAAATTTTGATTTTGCCGTTTAGCATTTTGTACGTCATTAGTTTGGTGAGTCATCGTAATTATCCACTCAGGAAGATAACTGCAGTAATAGGCATATCCTTTCAAACTACGTTTTTAATGTTAATAACTATAATGGACATATCAAACTATCTTGTAATAACCTTACAATTTATCCATAAGTTCTTCAATAGCACGATTATTGTCTTTCTACATACTTTAAGCAATGTAGTTCATAGCTTAGCTGTAATCATATCTTGAACTACAAATAAGGCGAGCCTACCGTTGAATATAGAAAACTGAATGTTTATCATAATATCACCGCATTTTGATAATAAAATAGAATTATTTTGATAATGATCCAATAGCATTGAATACATACATAGATGGATACTGAACGAAATTTATTTTTATAAATTATATTTTTACTGATTTCAAAGACTTATTTCTATGTGTTTTTTCACAATAAGGAAAACTTTATTCTTAGACATTAAAAAAGACCCTGAATCAAAAAGATGGAGTAAACATTTACATAATCATTCGATTATATTTCCTTGTATTTCTGTGTGAATTCCTTACACGTTTATATGAGATAACAGTCTCTCGCATGTCGGATAATTTTAATTGCAAGCTGTAAATGGATTCTACGAAATTAGATTTATTAATATGTAATTTAAATATAAAAATATAAAAACTGCTAAGCTTAGTAATAATACAAAACGTAATTTTAAGATAATAAAAGAAATTTTTTTTTAAAAGTGTAACCAGAAATAAACGTGAAACATCACGGTCTTTTCCAAACTTTCACGTAACTTACAATATTTTTGTGTTTTCAGGTCGGAATTCTTGCTCAATACTGCATTGGACCGTTCGTGTCTATGAGAACACTGGCGTCAATCAACTTGATCCTGCCTTTTACTTTCATCATAACTTTCTGTTTCCTACCGGAATCTCCGTACTATTATTTAAAATTCGAGCGCAGTGACAGAGCAGAACGATCCCTCAGAAGTCTGCGTAGTGGTGACATAAGAACTGAGCTCAAAAGTATAGAGTTGAACGTCCAGGAAGACATGAAGAATCGCGGGTCATGGAGCGATTTATTCACAGAAGCCACCAACAAAAAAGCGATGTGGATTACTCTAGGGGTTTTCACGGTACAACAGTTTTGTGGTAGCGCTGCAGTTGTAGCGTATTCACAATTTATATTCAACTGTACCACCGGGCCTACTATACTGCCAAATGGAACCTTAGAAGAGAAAACCCGTAAAAGTATCGAACCCTATCAAGAATCTATCATAATAGGATGCGTGCAGGTTGCTACCTGTATCTTGTCCGTACTCCTCGTGGACCGAGTAGGACGCAAACCGCTTCTCTTGCTATCGACTTTGGGCGTAGGACTAATGAATGGAACAATCGGAACGTATTTCTACTTTTACGATACGAACAAGCAAGCCGTACAGAACGTTAGTTGGATACTTCTAGTGGCCCTTATCGTTTACATCGTGTGCTACGCCATCGGCTTATCAACCGTGCCGTATGTTACAATCGGGGAGATGTTCCCGACTAATGTCAAGCTGTACGCGTCCTGCATAGCACACATATATACAGGCGTCGCTATGTTTGCAGTGCAGAATCTCTTCCGGGTAATTTAATCATTTTATTAAACTATATACATTTAAGCATCACACATACAGGGTGTTTTGAAGGCGTTGTATAAAACAAAAACTGTTCACACTGGTTCCTGTCTACTTTATTTTTTATTGCTTAGATGGGTGGATGAGCTCACAGCCCACCTGGTGTTAAGTGGTTACTGGAGCCCATAGACATCCACAGCGTAAATGCGCCACCCGAGACATAAGTTCCAAGGTCTCAAGTATAGTTACAACGGCTGCCCCACCCTTCAAACCGAAACGCATTGCTGCTTCACGGCAGAAATAAGCAGAGTCGTGGTACCGGCCCGCGCGGACTCACAAGAGGTCCTACCACCAGTAATAAGTAACTACTCTAATAAGATACCACAAAGAAATCACGTTAGAAATATTATATTATATTTTCAATTAAAAAATCAGCCCACGTCCATCGCCAGTCTAAATCCAGTTACGTCAATACGTGGGAGTCGTCTGTCTTTCTCAGTAAAACGAAAAGTATTTATGATAGCTTCGCTTAACTAGCTTGCGCCTTCCTAAATTAAAATCAGAACGTAAAAGAATATTTTTCTTTGAATAAATCCTCATCGCCTGTTCTAACTCATAGTACGCCCCAACGACTTTAAAAAAGTACTTTTACTTTAAAATACTATAGAAAAATCGGCGACTCCGTGTCTAATGGTGGTATTAAGACGGACTATGAGATCTTCTGCATATGTAAAGCAAAAAATGCAACTGTGGCTGGTTCAAAATTGCAAAGAAATTCAAAACAAATACAAAACTCTAGGAGCCTGCCTATAAACATTACAAACAACTTAAACGATGCAATTAACCCACTGAGTTTCTCGCCGGATCTCAGTGGGTCGCAATTCCGGTCCGGTCGTAGACTCAGCGAAGCAGTGCTCTTGCTAGGACTAGTGTTAGCAATTCTCTCAGGTTGAGCCCGTGAGCCCAACTATCGATTTGAAGTTGGAATAGTCCCTTAGGCTACCAACGATTAGGTAGGGAAGAAAAAAATTTACTGCAACCTACTTTTAGAAATCTCAATTTTTATTTTATTTTTATTGCTTAGATGGGTGGACGAGCTCACAGCCCACCTACTGCTCAGTGGTTACTGAAGCCCATAGACATCTACAACGTAAATGCGCCACCCACCTTGAGATATAAGTTCTAAGGTCTCAGTATAGTTACAAGTCGCCTACCCTAAAACCAGCACGCAAGACTGCTCTCTACTGCAGAAATTGGTAAAATAGTACAACCTACCGTAGATAGTATTATAAATTAGTACTGTTTCAATGGATGCAATGCAAAAGCTGGCAGTGTGCATTATAATAATTACATTGACGTCAATCCGTGTCTTACATTTCAATACTTGACAATTTATTCTTACCGATCACTGCATTTAAATGAAGAGCGTCAAAAAACTTATACGGTGTATTTGTGTATGGGTGATAGACTAAGTTGTTGGTTTTTTTTCCGGTTTTCGCGATTTGTAGACTTAATCAGAACTACTAACTACGGTTTATTATTGCGGTTTTTATTATCATTTTATTATTTCCAAAGTTTCGAATACTTTAAGACGACTGACCGTTACCACGAAAAGATAAGAACCGTAAAAGTTATTTTAGTTAAACTATTAATAGTGTCCCTAAAAACACCGTGTTCACGGGTGTAGGCCGCAATTAGGAACCACACTGTGGTACATATATTAAACGCATATCTTTTTATGCGAATTCGTATACAGCACCATTCTAGTTAAATCCATCGTAGTTACGATCTGTCAAAGAAAGTCAGAACACCCATTATTGCAATGCTAATTAATAAGATTATATTTTTTATTTATTTATTGCTTAGATGGGTGGACGAACTCACAGCCAACTGGTGTTAAGTGGTTACTGGAGCCCATAGACATACACAACGTAAATGCGCCACCCACCTTGGGATATAAGTTCTAAGGTCTCAAGTATTGTTACAACGGCTGCCCCGCCCTTCAAACCGAAACGCATTACTACTTCACGGCAGGAATAGGCGGGGTGGTGGTACCTTCCCGCGCGGACTCACAAGAAGTCCTACCACCAGTAGACAAGATTGATAAGAAATGTGGGAAGCGGCATTCACATTGCGATGTCCATGTATTCCACACAAAAAAAACCTTTACTTATTATTAATGTTTCATTTTCAGGTTGTCGAACAAGCTTATAAAATTTACACAGTGTTCTGGGGGTTCACTATTTTCTCATTTCTTGGACTCGTCTTCATGGTGATGATGCTACCAGAAACAAAAGGAAAGTCCTTCGCTTCAATCCAAGCGCAACTGCGCCACGAAGTCGCCAGAGACAACGCAAAGAAAATTGACACGGTCGAATACTAACCAGAAAATACGAGACGACTACTTATTCTCACTAGTATTTAGCGTTAAGCTTATAAGGGATCAATTTAAAATGAAAATTTAATGATATTGAATACTTAACGTTTAATTATTATTTAGGTTAGTAATTTGTTTCGAATCCGTTTACCGAAATAGCCAATGAATTGTTAGTGGGAACAGCATGAAGATCGAGCAGAAATGAGATCCGGCGCNCCAGAAAATACGAGACGACTACTTATTCTCACTAGTATTTAGCGTTAAGCTTATAAGGGATCAATTTAAAATGAAAATTTAATGATATTGAATACTTAACGTTTAATTATTATTTAGGTTAGTAATTTGTTTCGAATCCGTTTACCGAAATAGCCAATGAATTGTTAGTGGGAACAGCATGAAGATCGAGCAGAAATGAGATCCGGCGCTGTTGAAAGCGGAGAAGTCGTCGGGGTTGTAGTCTTCGGGCAGGCGTCGACTCGCAATCACCTTGGAGTACAACTTGGCCGAATCCTTTGCCGTTCTCGTTTTGTTGGGACTTTCGAAATCGACCAGATACAGACCGAAGCGGGACCTGCAAAATGCATTTAAAACATGACGAGTGAATTATACATGGAGAGCGTTTGACTGATAATTTGTTTCATTTAAACCCTGTAGTTTTGTTTTAGGATGTTTGAATAATCTCATTGGCTTTATTAAGGTAGTTTTAGATCAGATACTTAGTCAAAAATAAATAAAATGTTAAGTAGGACATAAGAAAATTATAGTTTTTTTTTTATTATTTCTTTATTATTAATTCCGATTTTTGGTGATATAAAAATATTTTGTATTCGCGGCAACGCAAAAACAACAATAATAAAAAGCATGGTGTTTACCAGAGCCCAGGTATTGCGACATGAATTCTGTAGCCCAATAAAATTTGATACAATTATAAAGTCGATATATTGTAACGTTAATAAAACAGTCAAAATTTAGTCAGTTTGAGCAAAATACAATTATCACAAGATTAGAAAATCTTAATGATTAAAATCTGTTACCATTAATCTGATTCATCAATACGTGTCTGTTAGAGCTGCTTCCCTTAAGTAACTTTAAGTAACATCCACTTTCCTACCTAACCTCACAATTTCGATCGCCCTATTTTCTACTTTAAGCACTGGTAATAATGCTTACTGCAAGTGTTATTGTAAGGAGCTAGCACGCTACCCGTGTCTGTCTCAGGGATACAAAAAGTTGAGCGATATATTTCGAGGCGTCTATGATGTCGGTTGTTTAACATAAGACGGACGATGAGCTCACTTGCTAATGATAGCTAATGAAAAGAAAATACCATAAAACCGGTAGTTTTACTTTAAAAAAGACCAACTGCAGAACCCATAGACGTCGCAATTTGTAGGCCAGCTTTGCGAAATGAGATCGAAGTCTCAATTGCCCTCTTATCGTCGCCGGGTCTAACTACATATCGCACTCAGGCGACGAGGCAATGCAAAGTCAACGTCGCCCAAAACATATCTTGTAATATCCTCCGGGTCCACTCTCGGTGCTATTAGATTCTCTAACCACCGGTCACCATTCTCGTCTAATATGACGAAAAGTTCGAGGTGCAATAGTGCATAGCGCATTTTTTTTATTTTTTTTTTATTGCCCTTGTAGGCAGACGAGCATACGGCCCATCTGATGGTGAGTGGTTACCGTCGCCCATGGACTAAAGCAATGCCAGGGGCAGAGCCAAGCCGCTGCCTACCGCTTAATACTCTCCACAAGCCTCGTTTGAAGAAGGACATGTCATAGCGCTCGGGAAACACCGTGGAGGGGAGCTCATTCCATAGCCGGATGGTACGTGGCAAAAAAGACCTCTGGAAACGCACTGTGGATGACCGCAGTGGCTTCAGGTAGTATGGATGAACTCTACTCCGGTGGCGGGCGGTGCGATGGTAAAAACGAGATGCCGGTATCATCTCGAACAATTCCTCAGAGCACTCCCCATGGAACATACGGTACAAAATACAGAGGGAACCGAAGTCCCTCCGCAGACCCAGAGGCTCCAAACGATCCGTGAGAATGGGATTATCGACAATCCGAACGGCCCTCCTCTGTATGGAGTCAAATGGAAGAAGCTGGTATTTGGGAGCCCCGGCCCAGAGATGGGAGCAGTACTCCACGCGAGGCCGGACTTGTGCTTTATAAAGCAAAAGCCTTTGTCCAGGCGTGAAGTACCGCTTCGCTCTGTTGAGGACTCCCAGCATTTTGGACGCCAACTTGGCTTTGCCTTCCAAATGACTCCGAAACTGGACATCGCTCGAAATGTTGACCCCAAGTATCCCAATACTCTCGGAACGTTGCAGGGATACTCCTTGGAATTGCGGCGCCATGACAAAGGGGTTCTTCTTCGCAGTGAACGCGCAAACTTGTGTCTTTAACGGGCATAGACACAATCCACTGAGTTTCTTGCCGGATCTTGGTGAGTCGAGATTCCGATCCGTTGGAATAGTCCCGTAGGCTACAAAAGATTAGGTAGGAAAAATAAATACACATTCAAAGTGGAACATATAACTGCTTCGCTTTAGTAATAATTCTGTACCTCCTAAGAGGTCCCCGCGACTAGGGGGTACGCGGGGTATGTGAGACTGGTCCGCGACTGCGAGACCGCCGGCCCAAGGATGTTTTCAGGGCCCTACCCACTAAACGACTCCCCTGCACTCTTCGCCCAAACTTCCGATCCCCTCCGAGATCAGAACCCGGATGAGGTAAGGGGGTTACCGCGGTCAACACAACCAGACGGTGCAGCTCACCCCAAGGACGACCGGCCGACGGAGTCTTCGAGGCGAATCGAAAGCTCTGAAACATCGGCCGTCTCGGTACGGCAGCCCGTCAGGCCGCCCGGACGGTGCCGCTGGTGTCCCGGAATACCGCGCTGGACCAATACCAGCCTGCCGGGTCGGGACGCGATACACCGCCAACCGGTTGCTTTTTCGTATTTCCTTGGCGGCGCGCTAGAGTTTTGGTAGCACGCCGCACGGCCTCAACCCCCTCAGGTCACCCCTTGACCTTTACCGGGGGGAAGCCGCCACCTACAGGGGCCGAGATGTACGGGCGTAATCCCTCCTCCAGCCCCCGGCTCGACAGCGATATATCGGTGCGGAAAGGGAAGAGCTCTCCGTCTCTCGTTCTGCTGCCTCCTTCTGCGAGATGGGGGACTCGCAGAAATCGAGCATCGCCTTACAGGACTCGTCGCTGCCGAGCATCGTAGCCACGACGTGCGGCAGCGAGAGGTCCTCTCCTATGAATGATATTACCATCCTATGCGGTCATTTTTTTTATATTCGCAGAAGAATTAGGGTGATAATGTCACATTAATAATATCACATTGCTATTTGACTCTTATCAGACAGGTTACAATTCACTTGATAACTTTTATCTGACGATTGAAAATTTTGCACTTACACATATCCGTCATCCCATTCAAAGTTGTCCATCAAACTCCACGCGAAGTACCCTTCAACAACGCTTCCATCTTCGTGAATACTGTGTAACAACGCGTTCAGATAATGACTATAGTAGGACACTCGTGTCTTATCATCGAGACCATTGAAATCCGCGTAGCCGTTCTCGGTAATTATAATTGGATAGCCGCTGTATGTCTTCGTTATCCATTGAAGAAGTTTTCTGAATCCGTAAGGCACGACCTGAAAATTAACATCCGTAGAGATATTTTTACTAGAGGTAAATCGAGCCCGCGGCTCTCCAGTGGTTATTCATGTCATAAATATGAGTAAATACTATAGTTCTAAAATAACCTACATTCAGGTAAAGAATTACTTGCGTAGAGTAAAGGCAGGGTTGGGCAGTCTTCTGCCCCCGATCGCGTTAAGCTTGCGCACTCAAACGCCGAAGGCAAATACGAAAATGTACGTTGCGAGAATCATTATTTACGTCCCATATGATGTTGCACACTTGATTTGTAAATGGATGTGCTTCGACAGCAAAATACAGCAAGGATTTTATATATTGCTCCGTAAGGCGAGGTAAGTTTATATCTATAAATTTCGCTCATTTGTTGGAAACAATGTTTTAAAGGAAAATTTAAATGACAGCCATACTCATGTTTCTCTCAGACTTGTATGATAGGATTGTTTATCCGAATGCGAATACGTTACATAATTAAATTTTATTATAGAAATCTAAAAACATAAAGTTTCACGTAAATATCAGCCAGTACAAGACATTTAAATTAAGTACTTATAAATGAATGATTGCATAATTACATTTATTTTCTTTTTTTTTGACAACCCTTGCACATTTGGGATTGATAACTTAAGTACGTGCACGGATGAAGGTGTCGCCCGACATTAAAGGGATTTCTCAACTGTATGGATTGTAAAACTGTGGTAATACCATAGGGGTGGGTAGCTAGCTATATTACTGCACTATAAATAAGCAACAGTTTTTTTTTTATTGTTTAAATGGGTGAACGAGCTCACAGCCCCCCTAGTGTTAAATGGTTACTGGAACCCATAGACATCTACGACGTAAATGCGCCACCTACCTTGAGATATAAGTTCTAAGGTTTCAAGTATAGTTACAACGGCTGCCCCGCCCTTGAAACCGAAACGCATTACTGCTTCACGGCAGAAATAAGCGGGGCGGTGGTACCTACCCGCGCGGACTCACAAGAGGTCCTACCACCAGTAAGAACCAGGATAAACTTCTTTTCGGCGACGGATGATACTTTGGTAATAGGAAGATAATGAAATTTAACAATAACTCAGAGCACGCCCTAACTGAATAGTTTAGATTAATTTATAAAAGCAAAGGGACTGTATGTGATTCGTCTCGGGAAAAAAAATCAAGCAGAAAAAATCTGAAGCATTATATTATAACTAGGTACTTATCAAACTATTGTAAGAAAGCACCTTTGCTATACTGAGCCAGAATAAATAAAGACTACGTAAATACATTACACTTAATACATACATACATAACATACATTTATTACACTTAATACCTACAATATGTCGCCTAAACAATTAGCTTAGAGCAGAACGATAAGTCGAATAAGCACCCATCCTATTAAAAATAAGGGCTTGCAATGCAGTTCCGTTTCGTATTAAAAAAATTTCTTCAATTCAAAATGTAAATTGATCGAAAAACAACAAAAGACGCTTTGTTGCCCTAAAGAACATTGAATATACGGTAGCTGAACTAACATTGGAAATAAACCATACTTTTAAATTGTGTATTCAACCAACGCAATCTCTAGATATATTTCGTCATGTTGAAATAAGAAACTAATTTCCTTTCCCTTTGTGTACTTGTTAACTTTAAATAACTATTATTACCCAACAACTTGTTTTACCTGACCCAAATTTATTGAGAGTTCTACACAATAACGTTAATTTCTTCACAAAATGTATACATTTTCAAAAAAGAAACTCCTTAGATTGTAACGGTTATATCAGCACGAGATCTGTAATGAAACTACTATTTGCCCTAATATTTCAGTCATTATTTTCATAGAATATAGAAGGCGCACTCAACTGATGATAAATAGTTTAAAACTCAATTTTAAGTCAAGTGGAAATTCGCATATTAGTAGAAGACCATCACCTACCTTAAAAAAACAACATTAGGTACTTCGCAGCGGACTTAGTCAAGACTGTAGTACCAAATTTTGACATAATATGCCCTCCCTTCAGAAAGAAGTGTCAGTTCAAGTTACATACCTTGAGCCAAGTTGAAGATGATTCTGACGGCCAATTCGGATCTTGAACCCTCACGATTCCGACATCGTTCTGGTGAGATGGTATAGAACCTACTTCTTTATCCGCCATCGTCAGCAGGTATGTTGTGTAATGATTCAGACCAAAGAAATCAGCCGTTCCTTTAATGTATTCCACCTCTTCTGTTGTGAACTTAGGCAAACGGGAACGAGTAAAGTTTTGTTCTTTGCTTTTTTTGTCCACAAGCTTTATTAATGCGGGAGGATAATTACCCTCCGCTGAATAAATCGGATGAGCGTACCAGCCGACCTGAAAAATGTACAAATACTCTTTGAAATTTAATCAATAATTCACCCTTTGCAAGCCTTTCGTCAGAAATTTCTTATTATTTTATATATATTTTTCTAACATAAATTCATTTTTAATATATCATACCATTTTATGACAAATAGTAAGTGCACGCAACATTGACCTCTTTGGCCAGTCACCACTTCCAATAATTCATTAATTACATAGCGCTTAAGTGTTACAAGGATTATATCATTATAGTACCTGTACATCTATACTATAAGAATATTATAAAGAGGAAAGATTTGTTTGTTTGTTTGTTTCGAATAGGCTCCGAAACTACTGGACCGATTTGAAAAATTATTTTTCCATTAGAAGCCGACATTGTCCCTGATGAACATAGGCTACTTTTTTTTAAAAAAAAATTATTTTATTTTTTTGGTTTCATGTGTGTTTTAATGTTTCCGAAGCGAAGCGAGGGCGGGTCGCTAGTTTGCTTATAAAGCCAATTACAGTTTTATCCTAATTTAATGTTTGCTTTTATTGAGTGAAATACTACAAAGTAATCTAAATCATTCAAGTTGGTAGAATGAAAAACTAATTATTATTTAGAGTACTCGAAATTGTATAGCATAACTAAATAAAATTTGTTTCAAAATATGTATATTAAATGCATATTTATAATAAGTGTACTAAAAAGTTATTATTCATCTATCTATATATCACAAATACGAATTGAATTATCATATCCACTATTACTATACAGACTATACAGCATTATTCGCAATTATTGTCATTATTTTTTGTATTAGAATCACATTCGCCAGACTCTCCTCTACACAATGGGTATTGGCGTTATCGCTATAAGGCTAAAAACTCCTGTCACTCAACCACACGCAACTGAATCTCAAATGAAATAGGAATCATCGCGACAATAGTGCCACATCCACTAGTCTCACCCCGTTGTGTCTAAGAGGTGCTTAGGAAGGCTATTTACATATTATAGTCTCCATAATTCTTCCTCGCGGATCTCTAAGCCGACCTTAAAAAATCTGTCGTTCGGAATACCTACTTTCCAATTGTAGCGGTCACAAACGATGCGATAAGTTAAATGATTGTTTTTAATCATAAAGGAACAACGTGAAATGTAAATTTTTCTTTAACGTGACATTGTAAAGATAAACATCCTGTCACGACTTTCTGAGATATACAATAATATATATTATCTCAGATAATAATATTTAAGTGCGCTATCTATGTTCATATTGAAACTTACATGTGTTTGCAAATATAGCTCTGCTGCATCTCTATCTTCTTGAGTATCTGTCTTAGGTTCAGCCCAGTTAGAATCTAGTGCAATACCAATTTTCCCTGAAAAATGAAAATATTTTTTGTTGATATTGATTTCGTTTCAGTTTTTAAAATTATCATTTTCCTATTTTTAAGCGATTTAAACAAATGCGATCTAGCTAATCAGAGCTAATCTTATTGTAAAACAGCAGATTAATTGGATCAACCGCAAGCAGATTAACTATCGACCTCTGCTTCTTCTTCTTGCTAGCGTTTTCCCGATCTAGTGCCAAGGTCTGCTTTCCTACTTAAATTCCTCTACGACTAAAAACATTTAATATATGAATATAGAAAGTATGTGTCATTGTAACTCACCTTTGTTTACTGTTCTATATTCTTTGTCAAACAGATGATAGACATTAGCGTGTGCCTTAAGTAAGTTATGAGTGCATAGGTATTCAGCGTGACCATGTCGATTTAATGCGGGCGCTCGATATGTTCCTCCATAGCCTTCTAGACAAGTCTGCATCGGCTCATTGAAAGTTATCCAGTACTTGACTCTGTCTCCAAAGTTCTTAAACAATATCTTAGCGTAATCCGTGTAATAGTCGACAATGTGCGCGTTTGACCATCCACCGATGTCCTGTAGCTTTTGCGGCAAATCCCAATGATATATCGTTATCATAGGTGTTATATTGTATTTCAGAATTTCGTTTATAAGATTATTGTAGTATGCAATTCCTAATTCATTGATTTCGTTCGTTAATCCTGTAGGAAGTATTCTGGGCCACGATACAGAAAATCGGTATGTATCAACTCCGAGCTCGTGCACCATTTCAGCATCGCGCTTATATAAATGATAAGAATCTGATGCAACGTCCGCGTTGGATCCATCTTTGACGAACTCGGGGTTTTTATGCACCAAATGATCCCAAATACTTTCGGATTTACCTATAAAAAACAAAGATTTAATCTTTGAAATTATCAAACGTTTTCATTCTTAGATATTTCCTACGAGGACGCTTTATATTCATTTTTCCCAAAATAGGTACAATTTTTTTTTAACTAATATTATGTAGGTATGTGGCATTTACGCTAGAAAGTAAGTCGATACTAAAAATGCATCGTATGTCTAAAAATTACTTTGTTATTGAACATACAATAGATACGAATGTACAATAGTATATAACACATTCTATTCAATAGTTATTTTTGTATGACATTGATGGACTTGAGTATAGATTTTCCATTGTGAAATCAAATAGTAATAAAAAGTAGGTGCTAACCGTCTACATTCCAAGCGCCCTCTATTTGGGCAGCAGCTGTAGATACTCCAAATATGAAATTTTCTGGAAACTTGTAGTTCGTATTTTTCCCTCCAGCTAAATTGACAATCTCAGCGTATCTGTAAATGACAATATTTACATTAGCAATGCATATTTTTTTACATTGTAAATAATTATTCGCATTTGCATTGAACATAAATTTAATGTAATATAATAAAATAATTTAATATAATAAAAGATAATTTTTTATTAAAATATTTAAATGTTCTTAGTTCACGTGAACAATCTCGTCAACATCATACAGGAAGCTGTGTTGCGGCATTTACATATATATGCCCTTTATCAATGTACGGACTTTTAACAAACACAAGAAACCTATTTTTAATGGTTTCTGTCTACTTATAGATAGATAGTAGATCTTAATTTTATCAAAAATTTTACCATTAACTAACAATAAAAACACAATTCAATTCGTAATTTTTTTTCTGTTTCTGTTGCGTTTACCCTTTTATTTCATTGGCAACTGATTAACTAAAAATTTTAACAATTGCATTATCAAATATTATACTATAGAAAGGGTATCGACATATGCGATTATTTATCTATACAGTACAGTATATATGAAAGTATATTATAGTATATATCTATAACCCTTCATATTTGCAGAAGATAATGTCAATTAATTTATGCGAGCTCTCGTCGTGAAACGTTCGAGATAAAGCCTCTAGATTCGAATGAGCCTTCGGTATCTGCTGTCGACCTTCTATTATGAATATACATATGTAGGTATATTTGAACAAAAACATAATACATAAAAGATTTTAGTGACAATTTTTTATTTATTCATGTTTATGATAATCATAAATAAGGTCGATCGAGGAATAAAATTAAAACCTGTATGGTTTTTTTTGTATAGTTTTTATTTCATGTTTTATTTACACATTTTAAGGAATATAGGTAAAATGTAAGAGAAAATCGGGCTCTTACTAATTACAGCCTTCGGTCGTTATTCGCATTACAATACTTGTATTGGAAAAGGTTAGAGAAATATTCAAGCTAATATCGACAACAGCAGAGGCGGACAATACGCGCACGGATATTATCCATTTATCTTGAATATTTTACAAAAACGAACAGGCCAGCACACAACTCACATAGTGAAATTGTTTAGTGCGGCCTTCGTGTTAACTTAAAAAAATATGTTTATTCAAATCTTTTAAGTAAGAACGCACTTAATATTATTAACTCCAAAATTAGTGGCAGTAGGATTAAGCTACATTTGACCTTAGTTTTGGGGATTGTCGGCATTTGCGTTGGGATGCCAACTCGCCATTCGAGTTCAGTGATTTATCGTTTTGATTTGATTGATTTATCAACAGATCTTCTGTTAGCACGAAGATGCAGAGCGACATGTAATGTTGATTCAATAAATACTTGAAGCAATGCTTGCAATGCTTAGTTCAATTTGAATTTTTCAAATGTATGGGAATTTCAGAGCTACAAAATATTTATTCATTCAAATAGTCACGTATTTTAAATGATAATTGCTGTTTTTGTGCTACTTTATCACCTCGTATTCAAATCAAAATTCGTATCAAGATAAAACTACAAAATTGATTTTCCCATGCTAGTTATCCTTTGTGTGATAACATAACTGAATTAACATAACTTCACATTACACAAAAAGATTGTTGACGAGTCCTCGCTTATTCAAATTTTAATGGTGACGGTGGTAATTTTTTTATTATTCGTCGCTGACGTCGTTTGACCTTTTAACAAAATTTAATTTTAACAACCCAAAAACATTTTCATTAAGATTAACCTTTTCTTTGTTTATATTTATGGCTCACGAGGCCAAACATGATACATAACCTTGATACATAACTAAGAAATCACAAAATAATTCGAGTCTACCTTGCATAATATTAGCTATGAATGTCTGTAACAAAAACAATAGTTTCATCAGAGTACGGCCAGTAGTTTCGTGGAATAAACGCATTCTTTATCTCGCATTTATCATATCAATACATTGACGACGCTATCAAGCGTAAGCACTTACATAGAAATCAATAAACTCAAGCATCACTTTGACTTTGAATGAAAAAAAAATGAACAGGAAACTTAACTTTAAAGTCTGCTACCTTTCAAATACGAAGCTCGCCTTCCATTGACCAGCAGTGAATACAAATTTCCCAGAAAACATGTGACTACCACTATCTACTTTGATAAAAAATAGAAAAAAATACGATACCTCAATTATTATATGTTTTCGCCCAATGATCGATGTTTGACCATAATCGCCAACACTACAAGATTAAAATAAATCTCTGTATTTAAATTTCCCTTTTTTTTTGCTGAGATTAAGATTTAGATAGCAATCAAGCTCGTCAAAAGCTACTAAACAAAAAAAGGAAAAGAAAATCGCTTGACAAATAGAGGAAAAGGAACATTTTCTCCTTTACTGTTTTGTTATTGCCTATTTATTTATAAATGGTAAAGTAGATGGGTGATTGTTTTGAGGTGGAGATGGGTAGGATATGTGGCACGCCCTAACGTGTGCTACATCCCAATATATCATCCAATCAGAAGTAGTAAAGATAAAAATGAGGAGTTGGATAGGAATAGACGATAATCGAACTGTATCTCGAAGAAGATATTTCCTACAGGATATTTCCAAGTAGATCTTCTGGTCTGAGATTAGTTTGTCTTTAGTTTTTTTTTCTATCTAGATACGGTAACATTGATAGTAGAGTCGTCAAATATATTTTCCAGTAATCTTTTACTTGGACTCAATTTTTAATTACTTCAAGTTTACTATGATTTACGTTTAATTTTCTACTTGAGTCGTGTAATATGTGCACGCATGCACTTAAGTGTGTACTTTACTTCCGTATACCTACTAATAATTTATTTACTAACCTTTTTGATCTCAATGTTATTTCATTGCAATATAATCAGGTCAAACAAGTAATTGGAAGTAAATTATGTCATTGTTGTCGTTAGTGTTCCGAGAGGAAAACCTTCAAACCCTTGTAGTATATACTTGCGGAAAATATTAACTGCACTGTGTAAGTCAAGTGCAATGTTATAATTAGCTTCATTAATTGATAGCATACATTTTGATTTTAACTTTACTGTAATAAGTCCATAACCCTACTTTATCTATTCTATATATTATTATATAAAAATGAATTGCTGTTCGTTAGTCTCGCTAAAACTCGAGAACGGCTGGACCGATTTGGATAATTTTGGTCTTGAATTATTTGTGGAAATCCAGATAAGGTTTAAAAGGTAGATAAATATGAAAATGCTCTGAATGATATAAAAATAACATCTTTGTTTTTCCTTTGATGTGTCCCCCGTCGGACCGATTCCTTTTGTTTGTTTTAAGTTTATTTTATACAAAAGTTTAGGTCTTTTACTAATAGATTGACGCACTTCGAAGTCTGCCGGGTCAGCTAGTCTATTATAATCATTTACTCAGAGATAGCAAATGGCACAAAATATAGGAATTACTACTCGTAAAATATATTAATCCGTAAATTAAACAGAGCAACGGTTTTACACCAGCCATTTCGATAAGCTGCACATCTGTGATACCCAGCTGAACGGCCTCGACTCCTCCAGTTGCCCTGAACCACAACCGGAAAAACTGCGTCCAACAGGGGCCGGAGCAAAGTCAACCTTCGGGCTCGACTTCTACACGTCGCTGCCGAACAACCTGATCACTATGGTGTGCAAGTCCGGTCCTAATTTTTCGACGAAGACACGGGTTTGCTCCTCTCTGACGCCGAGCAGAATCAGAGCAGACTACAAGCGTAAGCTCGACTGTGTTCTTATCGCCACAATGGTAGTACTCTGCCGGTAGCTCCCGCTTGTTAACTCAGTGCAATTAAAGGCCGAAACAGCTCTGATCTGTATGCACTTGCGTCACCCGGAAGGTGAGACGTTCTCAGTAATTGTTCAAACCTCCATGGCGACCTGGACTTAGAGTCCACCAGTAAGTATATGCAGTCGGCATCGATGCGCCACTTCGATAAAGCGGCACGACACGAGAACCCTCTCATCGTGGCCGCCGGTAACTACATTCCCGATCCTGCGGACAGAATGGAAAGCAGTCGACGTCGCCCAAAACACGTCATCTCGGATCCTCCCGATCCACTAACGGTGCTTCTAGGTACTTCAAGCACCGGTCACCGTTCTCGTCGAACCCATCGCTTGCGACGAAGGGCTCGACGAGTAAATTAACTCTCAGACACAGCCCACTGAGTTTCTCGCCGGATCTTCTCAGTGGGTCGCGTTTCCGATCCGGTGGTAGATTCTGCGAACTAGGTACTACTCTTGCTAAGGCTACCACTTCGATAAAGCGGCACGACACGAGAACCCTCTCATCGTGGCCGCCGGTAACTACATTCCCGATCCTGCGGACAGAATGGAAAGCAGTCGACGTCGCCCAAAACACGTCATCTCGGATCCTCCCGATCCACTAACGGTGCTTCTAGGTACTTCAAGCACCGGTCACCGTTCTCGTCGAACCCATCGCTTGCGACGAAGGGCTTGACGAGTAAATTAACTCTCAGACACAGCCCACTGAGTTTCTCGCCGGATCTTCTCAGTGGGTCGCGATTCCGATCCGGTGGTAGATTCTGCGAAGCAAAACTCTTGCTAGGGTTCGTGTTAGCATCGTCGTTAGGTTTGAGCCCCGTGAGCTCACCTACTAGTTACGGTTACGCTGGAATAGCCTCTCAAGGCTACCAGCTTAGGCAGGAAAAAAAAAAAACGTTCAAAGATCACATTGAAGTCTCTGGGTCTCCAATACATATCCCGGGATTGGATTCTCTGTTCCCGTAATAAACAACGGGCAGGTCTGGCTGAAAGCCGTGCAGAGCGCCCAGCGGAAACCCGACCGACCTGACAGATCGCTTAAAAACCCGATTCAACTGATAAGTAGAGCAACTCAGCACCGTCAAAGGGTGTTGTCACCCATAAGACAAACATTATATTTTCAATTTAAATTAAATTTATGAAGTTCATTAAAATCAGAATTCAGTTAATTCAAATAAAAGTAAAAATAAAATACAATTAATACTACTATTAAAATACGAATTCAGTTAATTCT